CGCCGGCTGGGAGCACGGGCTCTACGCTGTGGAGCGGTGTTGGTGTGCTGCCGGCGTTGGGTGCAATCTTCAGTTGACGTGTCGGTGTGTGATCTTCGCCTGCGACCCCGAGTGTTGTAAAACTGTCCAGGCAGATCCCTGCCCTGCACACCTCTCCGCACGGTCCTCGTGGCTCAGGGCAGTTTGGAGCCTTGGAGCGAGGCTGGTACCGCCGAGTGTCACCCCCTCCTGTCCCGGCCGTGGCAGAGCCCGGGGCATGCTGGCTGCTGAGCGGGCAGGGACCTGGGATGGGCGGCTGCGGATCCCAACTCTCTGCCTTAACAGCTGTTTCCTGGGGGTAATTGCAGGGGGCAAATCTCCTCCTGGTTTTCTGAGGGTGCTGATCGCAAGGGGAGTGGGAGGACAGACCTGGGTGTGGTGAGGAACACGTGCTGCCCCGAGCCGCTTCCGTAGGCGCTGTCGGGTAGAAGAGCCCCTTCCTTGGCGTTACTGGGCTGCTGATGGCCTGGGGGGTGTGTTATTGGTTGTTGGCAATGGCACGTTTGCTTCCAAATGGGTCTGTGTGAAATGATATTTTAACGTACCTAGAAGGTAAGTAGTAGGGATCTGCTTCAAAAAAAAAACCCAGCAAACAAAACAGCCCCCAGACCCACAGAACCCTCCAAGCAAATACATTTTTTGTTGCAGAGAATCTCCGGCTCCGCTCCTGTCGCACAGCCGTGGAGCTGTCGGCCCAGCAGCTGCGTTACGAGTGTGCGGGAACGCTCAGGAGGGAAAAAAATGAGTGTGCGGGAATGCTCAGGAGGGTGCAGGAAGGCGGAGGGTGGATAACGGGGTTTGAGCAGCTAGCTGGGAGCGGGCGTCTGGCGCTGTGATTGTGCCAAGGTGGTGCCTGGGAAACCTGGTTCTGCACCTTCCCCGGGGTGGTGACAGCATGGTGACCCTGAAAACCAGCCGGGTGGCAGTGGGTCAGCCTGGCCGTGGCAATGGGTCGGCCTGGCCACGGGGATCAGCCTGGCCGTGGTGGTGGTCAGCCTGGCGGTGGAAAAAAAAATGCTGTGGTCAGTCTGCTGTCCAGCTTGCCTCTCATTACAGTTAATACTTCAGGTGCTTTGGGGGGGTCTCTTTTTGCCGTGTTTTTATTTTCACACCTCCCTGACAGCAGTTTTCTGGAGAGCGGAGCTCCCCCTTGCCAGCTGCTCCTTGGTAAGGAAGCGACTGCTCTGGGCTGTGCCGGGAGGAGCCGGAGCTGTCTGCGGCGCATCCTGATCGGCATCGCCTTATGATCCCGAAGGGTTTCTTGCTCTCTGGGCCCAAAAGCTCCCGACCCGCTGGGGAGCTGGGAATCCTCTCGTAGACGCCTGCGCTCGTGCTGAGCGTTGGCGAGAGCGTGGTGTGAGTTTGGGGTTTTCGGCGAAGGGTCCCACGAGCAGAGGGGTGGGGGCTGGCTGCCGGGAGGTGCTGTGTGAAACGGGCTGGGCAGCTGCTGCGCCGTGGGCTTGTGAAATCATCTCCCGGGCAACTTGAGCGGCGGGGGAAGGTGAAACCCCTGCCCTTATGGTTTTCATTGTTCTTACCGCACAGGCTCCTTGTAATGAGTGAAGAATTGAGCTTTGTTTTCCTGTAGTTACAGAGCATGGAGTACTCCTGTTCCAGCCTGGCTGGCTGTTAGAGAAAGGAGAGACACCAGATTTATTATCCTGTTTTTTTTGGTGGAGGGTTTTTCCTTCTGCTGCAAACGCTTTCATCCCTTCTTGCCCACGTTAAAATGTGGGATTAGGGTTAATGGGCTTTTCCTTGTCCCTGGCTAATTACCTCTAATTTTGGCAATTAAATAGAAATTGTGGAATAAAGTACTAGGTTGTTCCAGGCAAACCCTGAAGGTACAGGTGCCACCTCGGTGCCCAGTCCCTGCGGAACCGCAGCGAGGAGCGGTGCTCCTGTCCCGCGCGCTCCGGACTCCGCTCTGCTCCTGCCTTCGGGTGTGGGGCGAGTCGAGGTGAATTGGGGTGCTCACAAGAATTCAGTGTAATCTCATACCCTAGGAGGGTGACAAACGGTCTTTGGCTGCCGTCTGCCGGAGCACATCGCTCTTCCATCCGTAAAACATGGGCCCATTTCGGCTGACGCAGCCGCTCCAGCCCGTGGGGTGGTGGGTCAGCAGCGCCGCTGCCGAGCGCCTGTTTCCCGCGTCCTGTCAACGAGGAACCCCTGAGGGTGTCCCCCCCGCGAGCGCGTTCGTGGATCAGACGCGGTAGGGTGTTGACACAGCTCTTGGCAGAGCCCTTCACCTCCCGCCTGACGTTCCACCCCGCTTTCCAGGCTGGTAGCGTTGTGTACGCACGCGTTTCCCCGGCAGGTCTTGTGATACCGGCGTTGGGGTCGCGGGGCTCTCGGGAGGCTCGTGTTCATTGGCTTCGTTTCTCTCTTCAGCCCAACAGAGGGACAAAACGACCCCGCGATGAGGAGGAGGAGGAAATCAAAGCGCGGCGGAAACAAGCCGGCACGCGAGAGCACGGTCGCCACAGGGAAGAGGAGTCGGCAGCGCCGGACGAAACCGATGACGAGAAGAAGAAGCTTCTCCAGATAATTGAGAGGGACGGCGAAGAGGAAGAGGAGGAAGTAAATCACTAGTGTCCTGTGTGCGGGGGGTGGTGGTGGGAAATAATCAAACCCCACGTTGCTCTGGGGTTTCCGTGGCTGACGGGACCGGCTGGTGGTTTCCCGCGCCTCCCGCAGCTCAAGGTTGGGTTTGCCTGCCCTGCCCCGCAGGGCTCCCGTGGGCTGCAGACAGAGCTGTCCTCTGACGGCTTAAGGGGGGCGCAGAAGGGGGCGGGAAGGCAAAGCTGTCAAACCTAATCTCTGTCTTAGGCTGAGAATGCCCAAATCACCTTCTCAAATACGTTTTGTGGGAACTAGTTTTTGTATTCTAACCAGTTTCCTAACTCTGTTCTCCTCCGTACCCTGCAGCTCCCCCTCCCCCTCTGCAGCTCTGCAGCAGCAGCAAATAATTCCAGGGTCGGGTCAGAGGAGGGGGGCAGCAGCTGTCAGGGGTAAATGATTTCAAGCCTTGGAGACAGAAATCCAATGCAGCATTGGCCTTTCTGCCAAGGGCCGGGGAAAAGATCACTTTATAAATGTGACACATGGATTGGTGTAAATCTGGGAGAGATTTGCTTCCCGCTGCCTGTGTCCAGTTTGATAAAAACCCAGGCGATGCCCAGCGCTGTGGAGTCACGTCGGTTTGTAAAATGCCAGTGTCCTTCGTCTGCGAGCAGTCGTCCCTGGGAATCGCCCTCGGTCCTTGCTGTTGAGCTGTTGCCTTTCCAGCCGCTAGCCGAGGCGATGATCTGAGATTTCGTTAGCATCCGATGGGTGGACGTAGGCCGGAGTCCTCTCCACTGGCTGGAGGCCTGTGGATTCCTGCAGCGTACAGGTCCCTCGTCTTTGTCAACGGCAGTTTTGCCATCCGGGCATTTTAAGGGCTGCAAGTCCAAGGTTTCTTTAGAGCCAAACCCTCTAGCTTTCTTGGAACGCAGGTGGCGTAAGTGCTGTTGCACCGCGCTTGGCACTGCTGGGCATGATGGCAGGGCTAATAGTGATGCAAATGAAGTAGGAGTTAGAAAGATTGTTGGGAAGATGTGGGGATATGCGTTAGAGGAAGCAGAGTCGGTCGGAGGAGAGGGCAGCGGTGTCAGCTCGTGGCAGGGGCTTTGTGGATTGAAATCCCCTTGCAGGGAGAAGGTGGTTTGGCGCCGTGGGGTTGATGCCCTGAGCGGTGACACGAGCGGGGCTGGTGCTAGGAGAGATGGGCCCGGGAACGTGGGAGATGCAGTGATGGGGTGTGACTCGAGCTGGCGTTACTGCTGCGGTGGAGTTTGCTGAGCTGAAACGTGCTGGCTCATCCCAGACCGGTGCTCAGCTGCTAACCAAGGGATCTTCAGCACCAGAACCAACTCAGTTTAGTCCTAACCGGGAGATGGGGCACAAAACATGGCTCAGGGTGGGGTCTGGTTTGTGTTTTGAGAAGGTCTGTGTGACGGTGGTTGTGGCAATCAGAAGGGGAGAGGGAAGGGGTTACACAGGAAAATTTCTCATCAGTGTTTTAATAAAGGAAGTGCATTAGCATTGTGAAACGAGGAAGGGAACGGAATCGGGGTCGTTAAAGGTACCGTGCTGCCGTGCAGGAAGCGCGGCGCCGGCTGAGAAACACCTCGGAAGCGTGTCAAAGCTGAAAGCAAGTGCTAGAGTAAATACTGATTCTGGCTTTTTCTTCAGAACACTTTAGAGGCAAAAGCCTATCCAAGTGAGGAACGTAGAGGAGAACAGAACCTCGGGGCGGTTAAACATAGACCAACGAAGAACAGCACAGTGGGCAGCTGGAAGGAAGCCGCCCGTGGGCGAAGCTGCTGGTGCAGACTGACGCTCGTGTCGGAGGGAAGAAGCCTCGACACGTGTCGCAGGGAGCAGCTCGAGGGAGACGAGCCCTTGCCAAGCTGCTGCTTTCGGAGGGCGCGGGAGGCTCTTGGCGTTCCTTTCCACAGAGCCTTCCGCTGGTGACCCCCTGGCTGACGCAAACCCGGCTCAGGAGGGTTTGGGCTGGGGAGGTTGTTCAGTGGGAGCCGGAGCAGACCTGTACGTGAGCAGCAGCGGGGAAGGAGGGGTGGCAGCTCCCTGGTGAGCCTGCCGGGGCTGCAGCCTGTTCCTGGTGGCTCTCGGCCCACTGCGGGCTCGCCGCCTCGCTCTGCTGGCCTTCCGCGTTTTGCCGGGCAGTCATTCAGTCGTCCGTGCTAAGCTCTGCTCTCTGCCCTTCCTGGCTGGGTAGGAGGAACCGTTGGACGAGAGCTCGGTGAAGAAGATGATTCTCACCTTCGAGAAGAGATCGTACAAAAACCAGGAGCTGCGGATCAAGTTCCCTGACAATCCAGAGAAGTAAGCTCGCGCCCAGCTACTGCCCTTCTCTCCCCCGAGTTTAGGCCTCAGCCCTAAATCAGTTTATTGAATATACGGATGGCTTCAGCCGCGTGTAGCGGGAGTTACTGCTGTGTAGTTCTTCTGAATAGTTCTTAAACGAACTTTGCTAATTAAAAACGGCACTACTGGGCCATCCGCTGGCAGCTGCGCGTGGCCAGTAGCACAGGGGTAACGCGCCGCGAAGGGGGGTTGGAGTTGCTTCGGCTCTCGTTCACGTGACCGACTGAGTGAGGGCAGTGCTCGAATTTGGGTTTGGGGTGGTGTTACTCTGGGCGCGCACACACGGGAAGGTTTCGTTAGTTGTGCTTTGGGCGTCTCGGTGGGTGTGGGGTTCTTGGGAGGGAGCCCTAGTGAGCTCTCCCACCCTCAGTCCTCCCGGCACTTGGCCTAGAGGGCCAGCTCCGCGCTCTCTTTTCGGGGGGCTCCTTCTCCGCGGTTTCCCGGCGGTGGTCTCTTCCTCGCTGGCTGGCAGGTGGCAGGGCTTTGGGGGTGGGCTGAAAGGTCTGTCCTGCGTTGGTTGGTTTTGCTTTCCAGTTAATTCAGGGTTTTGCGGGAGGGGCTGTGCTGTCAGTGGTCCCTGGGGGAGGACAGCGGTTTGTATTTCAGAGCTTTCAGATGCTGTTGAGCAAAACATCTGACAGCCAGACCCTGGGAGCGTTTCCACTCCTGCAGGTCTAGTGAGCATCTTCCTCGCCCTCCTCCTTTTGTGATTCATGTTGAATGAATTTATTCCTACGCTTAAGTCCAGTTTGCTGGTATTTTTTGTCCAGTTTATTGCTTTTTCATAGAATCCCAGAACAGCTTGGATTGGAAGGGCCCTGAAACCCCCCCAGTGCTACCCCCTGCCACAGGCAGGGACACCTTCCATAGCCCAGGTTGCTCCAAGCCTCATCCAGCTTGGCCTTGGACACTCCCAGGGATGGGGCATCCACAACTTCTCTGGGCAACCTGTCCCAGTGCCTCACCACCCTCTGCGGGAAGAATTCCTTCCTGATGTCCCATCTCCATCTCCCTCTTCCCGTTTAAACCCGTTTCCCCTTGTCCTGTCACTCCCTGCCCTTGGGAAAAGCCCCCCCAGCTTTCTTGTAGCCCCCCAGGCACTGGAAGGGGCTCTAAGGTCTCCCCAGAGCCTCTCTTCACCCAAACTCTTTATGGGCCTCAGTTCAGAGTCCTGCTGCCCACACACTCACCCGTTGTAGCTCGGGAAGGGGCATCGCACTGGAGAATGTATGTGCAGGGTGTTTTCAGGTGTAGCTCCAGTCTCCTTTTTTTGAAGTTCTAGAACTGATTGAAGGAACTGGGACAAATCTACCTATTTGCTCCATGTGAGTGACGCGGTAGTAAGGCGTATCCCAGTCCGTGATTGAACTGCAGGGACAGGATGGGCCTGGGCTGCCCGTGGGAGTTCTGGGATCAGAAGTGCCGGGGACATGTGCAGCTGGGTGACGAGGGAGGTGCCGATCCCTTGTCAGGAAGGGGCTGTGCATCGAGCATCACTGGTGTTTGTTAACTGTCTTTGTCTTGCCTCAGGTTCATGGAATCCGAGCTGGATTTAAATGACATCATTCAGGAAATGCACGTGATCGCGACGATGCCAGACCTGTACCACCTGCTGGTGGAGCTGAACGCCGTGCAGTCCCTCCTCGGGCTGCTGGGCCACGACAACACCGATATCCTTTTCAGCAGCTCTCCCGGGAGAGGCTCTCGCAGACCTTCCGTAATCCTTTCTGCTCGTGCAGGCTGCCCGATGTTTCTCTCCTCTCTCCCTCCACGCTGAATTTATGTCTTGTTGGGTTCTTGGGCCAACTGAAAGCTGTTTGCTTCAGGTCACATCGATTCTGAACTTTTTAGTGTGGTTGTTCTGTTTTCTTGCTCTACGACCCTTTTGCCTAGGTTGGAGTGGCCGCGCTGGAGCGCGAACGTGATGCATAGGGGAGGGCTCAAGCAGGGGCTTAGCAGCGCGTGGCCGGGGACTGTGCGCGCACTTGGGACCAGTCCCCGGTGAAAGCCACACCGATTGCCCCCTCTGCTGAGGGCTGAGCCCAGAGACTTCCAGCTCTTTGCCGGGGACTAGCTCACCCTGGTGCTGCCCTTCAGTTTGTAGAGGTTTCCTGAGTCTGGACCTTGAAGTTGGTGTGCTCGAGGCCGGAGGCTGTTGGCAGCCATCTGGTTATGTGAATATCCAGGGACATCTCCGTGCTTAGTGAGTTCTTGTGTCACGGAATCCGACCCCTGTGTGCAGCTCTCTTCCTCCTCTGAAGATGTGAGGACATCTGGGGGGGTTCTCTCTGTACGGGTGAAGACTGGTAGTGCTGAGTGAAACCGGTGGCACCCTTGGAATTCCCCGGTGCCTCGATGCTTAGCTGTCAGCTGGGCAGCCTTTGGGAGTCAGGCTCAGCCTGCTCTGCCTGTAAAACATTCTGCAGGAGGTGAGGCTGAGAGGCTGTGGCGCGATCTGGGAGATCATGTCTCTGTGTCGTGACAGTGCAAGGCCCTGTCGTGACAGTGGAAAGGGCGCTGGACTGGGTCTCAGGGCTACAGCAGACTGTTCCTTTTCATTGATTCCTGGCCTGAGGGAAGTAGTTTAGGCTTTACGTCTTCATGTGCAAAGAGGCTGTTTTACTCTTCACGTGCAGGGGGTAGACAGTGCTCCCTGCGGGGTTTTGAAACCTGCAGCGTTGGAAGGACTGTTGAGCCCTAAAGGCTGTGGTCTGGTGCACACATCTCAGTTTTCTTTTTTCCACGTTTCCTGATGGTGCTGCCTGGTAAGAATTCCTAGTTCATTCTTTCCGAGAGGGTGCCAGGATCAGAGGACGAAACCAACCCCTGCTTGTGTGCTTGCACACGTGCTGGTCCCTCCAGGCAGCGAACACGGTGGCTTTCCTCGCCTGGTCTGTAACGCGCGAGACCCCAAGGAAAGGTTTGCTGCGGGCTGGCTGTCGGACGGTGGGAATCCCCTGCCGTGTGCCGCCGGTTCCCTGCCTCCTGTCGCTTCATCACCTGTCTTTTTTGTCGGACACGGGAGGCTTTTGTGTCCGGTGTGTGTGGCATTGAAAGGTGCTGCTGCATTCCTCGAGGAGATGGGAGTGACGGGGATTTTGGCTGGGATAGCGGTGCTGCCGCGTAGCTGGAGTGCGGGGAGTAGAGCTGGCGTTGTCCTTGCAGCCGTGAAGAGCTGTGTCCTCGGGCCACTGCTGCTGTCGAGGACGTGGCGGTGTTTCCACTGTGCTCTCTTTGGAATTGGTTTGCCCCTTGCCTGTTGCTTGGCTTAGGGGTAGAAATTCAGCCTGTGGATTGCAATTTTGGGAAAAATATGTGTATTGCTTGATACAAAAGCACTGAAGTGCTTTCAGATACATTGGGAGCAGGACAGGGGCTGAGGGATGCCCCTCTGCGCTGCAGGGCGGACCCCTTGTTAAAGTGAACCCACTGGCCACGGCTCAGGTTTTCCAATGGTTTTTTTGTTAAAACAAACAAAAAAAAGATTTTTAAAAATGAGCGCTTGGAGGAGACAAGTAAACAAATTGCTCTTCAGATGTGATTTAAATGTGGTGTCTTGGGGGACTAATGCAAGGAGACAAAAGCAGAGTCCAGAGGGAGCAGATAATCCGCTGAATGATTCATGCGGCTTTACACAAAACACGGGAGTGAAAGATGATCACCGACAAGACTTTATTAACGAGGGACAGGAAAGCTTCCAGGGAGGTTTTGCTTTGCTGTCTCCTAAATTTCGTAGGACAGCTGATACTCTCGTCGGAAGCCTGACAGCAGGAGTGCCCTGCAAGACGAGCTCTCCCGACTGCCGGGCTCTGTGCTGGGCAGTCAGAGAAACCGGCTCAGTCTGCAGCACCGTGGGCAGCCGCGGCCTTCGGGGGGTTCCTCCCTCAGCTCCCTGTGGGCCGATCCAGCCCCATCCCCGCAGTCTTTCCTCATACAGTGTGCTAGCCCCCCGCCCATCCCGCTGGTCCTCCGCTCTCCCGAGTGCGGTGCGCCAAGGTCTCCCACCGGGCCCGCGGCTGGGCGCGCACGGTGCCCCCGGAGTGCCAAGCGCCAGGGCCTTCTCCTGAGCTGCTGCTTTGCTCTCGCTGGTGCTGTGCAGTCTGGGATGGTCCCCCCTCCCTCGCTGCAGCGGCACGCTGCTGCC